TAAAAAGCTTTAGTAGCCCCCTCCCCCCCCCAAGCACATGGAATGAAAGTGCAAAAAAAAGAAAGGGTCGAAATTTGAAAACGCCCATCCACTAACATTAAGAGGAAGAAACTGGCGTCTCAAAGGGGCAGAAAAAAGTGGGTGGTGGTATAATACAAATCGTCTCGCGCGTGGAAGCGTTAAAGGGCGTTAGAAAAGAACAATGGAAAGAGAGAAAGGTATTCCCCAAAAACACCATATGCCGTAAAAAGAAAAGATGCATCCCACCATTCCCAAGTATGCAGTCTCCGTTGCCATGCGAAAAAATCTAAAAAAAAAAAAAAAAAAAANAAAAAAAAAAAAGTTTAGCGCCATATGTGAAGATTATGCCACCTGGTTGGTGATAAAGGAGCTGGCAAGAAGATCGTCGGCACTAGGTCGCTTTTCGTGGTCAATAAGGAAAGTATCGGCTAGGAAAGTTCTAGCATCCGCGCCGGCGTTTTCAGGAATCGTGGGGCTAGCGTCGCCACTGCCGCCGATTTTGAAAATGGCTTGCAGCTGTGTGCAGTTGGGGTGCGGGTGACTTCCGGTAAACATTTCCACAACCAAGCAACCAAGCGACCAGATGTCAGCTTTGCGGGTGTAGGCCGTCTGTCGAACAACCTCGGGTGCCATCCAAAAGACGGAGCCTTGCAGTGAGACACGCTGGGCTCCCTTCTTGCCGCCGCCCAAGGTCGAGGCCTCGATACGTTTTGAGATGCCGAAATCGGAAATCTTGACGGAACCCTTGTTGTCGACGAGAATATTCGCACCCTTGATGTCTCGGTGGATAATGTCCCGCGAGTGGAGGTACGACAGACCAGTCAGAATTTGGCGGACAAAGTTCTGAATCAGCGACTCGCCAAGAGGCCCGTAGTTGACCAGCATGGTGGCTACGGAACCACCCGGGACGTACTCGAGGAAAATGTTGAGATGGCTCTCGTCCGAGTTGGAGCCCAGATACTGGACAATGTTCTTGTGCTTGAGCTCGCGAAGAAGGCCAATCTCGTGCTTGAGGGCTTCGACCATGTTGGTCTTTTTGTGGTCCATCTGAGAAGCGCCAGCTACCGATGGAAGCTCGACCTGCTTGACGGCCATGAGCTCACCCGTAACGGCATGCAGAGCCAGGTACACGCTGCCAAAGGATCCCTGTCCAATGAGCGCACCCTTCATGTACTTGACATTGTCCCACGAGTCTTGCTCCAGGTACTCTGCCAGTTCGTCATCCGACTCTTCGCCGTCTTCGGCCAAGGCTTCCGAGAGGCGTTTGTTGAGCGAGTCGCCATTCTCAGTGTTGCTACTGCTGCTACCAGCGAGGCTGCTACCGCCATCGTCAAAGTACGACTGCAGTGTTGTGTTGCCATCCGGGTCGGTAATGGCTAGGCTGTCTGCGACGCTGTCACCGCCAAACGAGACGTACGACTTGCGGTTTGGCTCCAACGGCGACTCCTCGTCGAGCGGCTCGAGGACAGAGGAAGCCAGCGAGTCACGGTAGCCGTTCTGGTTGGGAAGGCCAAGGCGCATGACGGACAGGGGTCGAAGGGGGCGGGCCTGGGCACCACCCTGGAGCCAGCTATCGGCAATGGACGGCAGCGGAGGCGCGTCTTTCAAGCTCGACGCTACACTAAAGTTGGACGCCATCGACAGGCGCGACGCCGCTCTACTGAGCCGATGCGACCGACGTATTGACATGCGGACAGTCTTGTCAATCTCTTCCTTGCCGACATCAGGGAAGTAGGATGTCAGATCGGAGGTAATCAGCTCGCTGGGTGGTCGGGCGCCGTAAAATTGCTTGAGTTTGCGAGCACGTGCCTGGTAGATGGGTGACCGGGACGGGTCGGCAGGTCCTTCGAGGTTCTGGGCCGTGGAATTGATGTGACGTTCGCGTTCTCTGGCCGAAGTTGGCGATAGGGGGTAGCTAACAGCAGCAAGAGACTCGCCCGTCAGCTTCTCCACCTTGATCTGGCTGCGGTTGCTGGACGGGAGGAAGACGCCCTGGGGTTGCTGGTAGTTTTGCTGTTGGTAGATGCCGGCAGCAGCCTTGAGCTGGTCATCGTCGGGCTCGCCAGCATGAACCTTGCGGAGAATGAGTCGGCCGCGTTCATGCCGGTTTGCATCCTTGACCAACCTGAAAACCTCGATATCGCTCAAGCGCTCCGACAGTGACGGGTCCGGCTCGACACTGTTGAGAATGTAGAAGCAGTAGTTCTTGACATGTGCGGTATTGAGGTGCCCTTTTGTCAGCGTCTTGAGCATCACCTCCTCGGCCGTCTTGCAGCCTTCAATGTTTACGACTGAAGTCCGTCCACCGTCGTAGATGACACGCACAAGCGCCTTGTCGTAGGGCAAGATGGCGCTGTTGGTGGCGCTGTCCACACTGGGACTGGCTCGGACATGGTGGGCGAAGCGGGCTGTTTGAGGCGTCTCGGTGGGCGTGGTGCGTTGGTTGCGTGCAAGGGATGATGAGGTCATGTTGGCCGAGCTGCTGGAAGCACTCAGAGGGTGAGCGCCATACGTCTTGTTGCCGACGTCCTTGGGGCTGTTCAAGCCTCCCTGGCGTTGTGATCGCAGGTTCCGCGTCTCCTGGTCAACCAGGGGCGAGCTGGGGCGGGACGGGGGCTTGGTGCCGTATGCGTAGCTGCTGAGCTCCGAGTTTGTGATTTGTCGTGACATGCGCTTCTCGGATCGCGAGCTGACGGGATTCGACACGGGCGGGTTTGATCGTGCCGAGTGGAGGGGGCGAGGCGAGCCTGAGGATGGAGGCGTGTATGCGGCGTTGTCGAGCGTGGCCAGCGACTGCCTGTTTGAGGTGCGTCGAGACGCCTTCTTGTACTCGCGGTTGCGCAGCTGCTTTGCCTGAGAGCCGATGCGGACGCGGTCGCCGACTTTCTTGATGCCCATGTCTTTGAGGTGTGTCTGGTCCATTTCCATCAGGTTCTCGCCATTGATGTGGTTGACTGGAAGGGGAGTGTCAGTAGTGGCCAGCGGCGGAGGAAGAAGAAGAAGAAGAAGAAGAAGAAGAAGAAGAAGAAGAAGAAGAGGGGGCCATACGCTTAAACAGCTCGACATAGTGGGCGCAGTTGATACGCTTTAGCCATTCGCCAACCTTGTCTTCGTCCCAATGCCTGGACATGTTAGTGGTGGTGGTGGGGAGTGAAGTGGGAGTGGATGCAGCTCACCTGATGGCGTCGGGAGCGTCGTAGATTTCTGAAAACTCCGACTCGGTAGGCGAGGCAAACATGGTCTGATCGGCGCGTGTGTTGGATGCATGTGAGCGGTAGTTGGAGAGGGCGGCGTTGTACTGGGCCGAGGACTGAGAGGCGGCGCCGCTGACGGCGGGCGCGGGATACGGGGACTTTGAGGCAAGCATGGCCATAGCGTGTCGTGGACGGGGTCTCGGGATGGCGTGCGTGTGCGTGCGTGTGCGCGGTCAGGGTGGAGATGTACGTTGGTGGGTAGGCAGTCGGTCGTGGCGCGCTATCTACTCTATCTCATATATGCATTGTGGGGATGGTACGGCTGTGGGTGCGCAGATAACGGCAGGCTGTGGAGAAGGCGGGCAAAAGGACAGACAAAGGCGGCGGCGTGGTGGGCTGGTCAGGATGATACGGCGGCAGGTGTAGACGTGGTGCCAGTGACGGCCAGGGAGCGTAACGGGGCTAGGATTGCAACGGCGAGGCACGAGGGCCAGGGTGCGTCTGTCGGAGGGGGGCGGTGTGTGTCGGAGTAAGAATGGCTTGCGGGAGCTGGCGAGCGGCGGACGCGGAGGGGGGAGAGAGAGAGTGTGTGTGAGTGTGTGTGTGGGTGTGGGCGTGGTGTGTATGTGTATGTGCTGGGCTGGCGGGCAGCGGGTGCAGGAGCAGAAACAGAGGCAGGCGCCTGGGGCGTCTTTATTGCGGCGGCTTAGGGCGGGCTGGTGGGGATGGGGATGGTGTGGGTGGATGGCAGGCCAAGCGAGGGCAGCAAGACACGGACAATCAGACGAGTGCGAGAGGTCGAGGGCGCTGTCGTGTGGGCGTGTGGTGGATCGGGCGCTGTGAGGTCGCGCTCGCAACAGCTTCTGGCACCGCTCGTGGCCAACGTGAGACGTGAAACGTTAGTGAGACTAGGGCCCTGCGCCTATCAGCAAATCCGAGGGGCCCGAGCACGAGCTGCAGCCATGGCAGCCGGCGCGCGGGTGCGTGGCCCGGCAGTGAGGCGGCGGCGGCGCTGGGCGGGCGGGCGGGTGCGAGTGAGTGCAGGGCGAAGAGAGAGAGAGAGAGAGAGAAGGACAAAAGGTGGTTTGCATGGGAACAGCCGTGGGCGTGGGCGTGGGCGTGGTCGTTCCATCGTCGAGGGCGCGGCCACCATGGCGGGCGAGGAAGCTTACGGCGCACCTAGCCGGCGCTTGTGCTGGTATGGCATGGCGGGCAGCCGGCACCTACTGTTGCTACTGCTAGATATTAGCCATTTAATCTATTGTCCACCGCCTTACCCCGGCTGAAAATAGCGGGCGACGGCGCCCCTTGTTTTGTTTGCCTGGGGGCGCGGCCACACGCAAGCCGTGCCTGTCGCTCGCTCGCTGCCCTCTGGCTCGGGGGCGAGTGCGGGTGTGGGTGGAGAGGCATGCCAAGCCGTGTGCGCCCGTGCCTGACCTTGACTTTAGTATACTACTACACCCACTATACGCCTACTGCACGCCTACACCTGCCTGGCATGACAGGCCAAAAACGCCCAACCCGCAGGCGCGTACCGTCCCGCGCCTGTTCGCACGCAGCATGTCTCGCTTCAGCCGCCTCAGCCTCGGACTGCGTGCACCTGGCCCACGGCCTCGTAGCCGCCCTCTGTCGCCCGTAAATCACCTTCATGCCGTGCTGCGTGCTTGCTGCCTGTCTTTTGCCCTTTGCAGCCTGGGCGAGTGCAATGGCCAGCCGCTGGTGCAGGGCTGCGCTTGAAACGAGGCTGAGGGCTACACGCCCCCAACAAGCGCCCACGCGGCATGCATGCCCGCCAAACAAGCAACCCCAAAATCCAAAACCAAACAAATATATCTAAACCGTGCTCGTCACTCGTGCCGCTACTCCTGACAATCTTGGCCCTGTTGACCGTCGGCTCAATTCTACCAATCTGCCACGGCCCATGCCGCCCGTGCTGCCCTTGCTGCCCCTCCGCCGTCTCGGCTCGAGTCGACAGGCACCGGCACAGGCAAAGAACAGGCTGCCATGACGTCTGGCCCGATGACGCACTCACCCTCGACGCCCTCGCCATCCTCCTCACCCTCACCCTCGCCCTCGCCCTCGCCCTCGCCCTCGCCCGCGCCTCATGGCCCCTCGCGCCACGTCCAACATGGCGCTGCGCAGCCCGTCAGGCCACATAGAACCCGCTGCTTAACCCGCTGCTTATCTCGCTCCTCTTGCTGCCACTGCCACGCCCGCCCACGTACCCAGCCTACCCAGGGTACCGCTGCTTTGCTCACAAAGTCCCGACGCCCAAACTCCACTCAGGCTCTGACGTGCTTGCGCCCACTGGCCGACTGACAACTGCCCACAACTGCCCACAACTGCCCACAACTGCCCACTGGCCGTCTCTTTTTCTCCATCCATCTCGTCCCTCTGCCGTTTCTGCTTGTGCATGGCAACTCTGCAACAGCAGCAGCACTCATCCGCTGCGCTCCGCAACCCGCCTGGACCCTGACCCTGACCCTCTCGCATTGCACCACCCCAACGTCATCCTACAGGCCCGCCCCGACCACTCCACTTGCCCGCCCCTCCACCTCGTCTCGCAATGGCCTACCGCAACCACGCCGACTCCACGCATGCCGACAGGCAGCACGTCGACCGCGGCAGAAGCCCTGACTATGCTCGAACAAATACTGCCCGTGGGAGGTCCAACGGCCCCGACCGTCAGCCTCGTGACAAGACTCCTCCTCCTCCTCCTCCCGCCTGGGACAGACGCAGCTTCGACAGTGGCTCGCCGCCCATGCAGCAACCCCTGAAGAATGCCATTGGCAATGCCTTTGAAAAATCCGGTGCCGCCCGTGTCGTCGACCCCAATCTCATTGCGCAGATCACGGCCGAGGTGAAGAAGTCGGTCCTGGACGAAATCAAGTCAGGTGTCATGGCTGGTGCAACCCAGCCCCAGCCTGTACCCAAGCCACAGCAATGGGCTCCGCCGTCGCCACCCTCGACCTCCAACTCGCTTCCTACGAGAGACGTCTACACGCCTCCCTCGCCGAAGCGCTGCGATTTCACCGCCAAGCAGTCTCCGGAGCGGGACCCTCTGTATCGCGATCCGCTGCTGGATAGCAACCACGACACGCCCGCCCCCCGCGTCGAGCGCACTGTCCCAATGGAGCGAGACCGACAGCCTGCGCGACCCCCTCCCCCGCTCAGGACGATGACCGAAGACTACACGCCCATTGAGAAGATGTGGCAGCGCCTGTTCCAGCCCGACGGCCAGCCGCTGCCCCGCCTCGGACAGCTCCTGCGAGGCCTGGCACTGCACTTGGTCAGCATCACCATCTGCGAATCCACGAGGCCCAGCTGACATGCATGCAGATTGAAGACTACGAGCCCAAGAACAGCCTCGTCATTTCCCCCGCCAAGATGCTCAAGTTTTACCAAGTGGTCAAACTCAAGGATGAAATCTACCCCTGGCAATCCATCTTTGGAAAAATCTCCTACTCTTCCCTGTCCAAAATCTACCGCGACATGCGATGCCAGCATCACCTCATCCAAGAGCACCCAGCCGAGCAACCCTACATCCCTGCCCTCACACCCGACGGCTTCCAGGAGTGGATGACTGTCATGATCCAGGCCTATCCCGATACCGAGTACGAGCGACTGGTAAAGGCCATCCTCGACATGCCCATCAGCAACGCCGACGACCGCAAGGAGCGATTTCCCAAAGAAATATCTCGCCGCATGTTTCCAAGCGTGGAAAATCTCCAAGCACAACAGAAATGTGCTGCCGCTCTCTCTGCTGAGGGTGTTGGGCCCCTCCGAAAGGCCCCGACCTTTCCCCCGCCGCCTCCAAAAACCCAAGACGCTCCTTTGTCGGCGACGCAGCTTGAACGCGAACGAAGCCCATACAGTTCTAGACCAGACGTCAGGCCTCTCGACCTGGGCGCCGAGTCCACATCGCCGTCAGTGCCGATTGAGCGAGAGCGCAAGCCCTACTCTGCGGCTCCTGGTTGTGGCAAGACCTACGACGACATTGCTTCAAGCCCCAATTCTGATAGCGCCGTAAACGACAAGCGTAGGCGTGCACAATCCAACGCCGGTCAGGCACAGTGGGCGCCCCCGTCCAGCGACCCCTATTGCCAACCTCCTCCACCCCCGAGACGACCACGAAGCCCGAGCTTCTCAAACTATGGCACGCAGTCCGACCCCAATGTACGAGACGGCCCGAACAACTCGTATGCGTCAAATATGTACCATTCCGAGGAGAATGGCTATCGGTTCAACAAGGAGTTTGATGGCAAGACCAACAATCGACGCCGCAGTACTGCTGCCGGTGCAGATGTGTCGTTTGACCTACCACCACGATCCGTGTATGGCGATGACGACTACCGCGCACGAAACGGAAGCAATGGTTACGACAACAGAGGCTACGACTCCCGCCGCTACTAGCACGTATTTATGAAGTTACGACATATACCCTGAATTTCCGGTCGTTGCAGCCATTTCCTATTGACTTGTCGGTGAGCTTCAGGTGTTCAAATGGAGTGAGGTGTTTGGATCGGCATGCATGTTGATCACATATCCGGTTTTTATTTCTTTTTTATACAAGTTGCATACAAAACAAAGTCATGTACCCTGTAAACGGCCGTTGAAGATCATACATAAAAAAAGCAAACTACTATACTTCCCTGCGTCTGAAAATCAATAGTGGTACCATGACCAGAGTATTGAGTGGGGGTTTCTTTTTTCTTTATGCTGCTGATCTTCACCTTGCTTATGGAACCTCTACCACTGTGCAGCTTCTGCTCTCCTATCATGTTGCTGTTCTTCTTTCACCTGAAAAAAAAAGACGGTAAACTATGTAACATCAATCATAAAAGAAAAAAAAATCATAAATGACTATCCATCATGCCTATCCCCCCTGATGATGGACTCACGAGCGTTATACACCTAGGAGAAACCGTACATTAATACGGCATAATTATGTCTGCTCGTGTCACAGGAGCAAAGGACATGGTGAAATTCTTATTCATGCTGTATATTCAACATGAGTCGGATGTTTCTGCCCCTGGAAACAAGACATGGATAAATGCACGTATGTATGCGTACACATGGCCGCGTAACGCGTGGTCCTCGTATGAGAACAAATGTATGAACCAGAGTAAACGAGTCTGTTAAGCAGTACACCACACAAGTAATAAAGGTAGATCTAAGATGCCAAAGCCAGTCCTGCAGATGTCCTCACAGCCTCTGCGACAACGGCACGCTACTCGGCACGGTCTTGGACCTCCCATGCTTGTCCACCGTAGGCAGGATATCCTCATCGGGTAGGTAATTCGCAAGCACATCCGCGCCATCACCGCTCTCCCCGACCTCAACCAGATTCCTCCTCCGCGACTTCCAGCGCGGCACCTCGCCGTCCCTCGCCCGCCCAACGCCCATGTCGCGCCAGCGCTTCGGCGGCTTCACACCCATCTCGACGAGATTCTCCCAGATGCGCTCGCCCCGCTTGTTCCAGCGCTGCATGCGCTCCTCGTACTCTGCGTCCGACGGCCGCCACTTGCTCTTGAGGATGCGCCGGATCGCTTCCGGCGACACTTTGAAGTGGTCGGCTAGAATCGGCGTGGTGAATTTCTCCGGCTGTGTGTGGTGTAGATGGCGGATGCCTTCCATGGTGTCTGGCGACAGTTTTTTGCGCGGACTCCAGGCTTCGCCGTTGAATTTCTCGCGGAGCGCTTCTTTCTGGATCGCCCATGCGGGACGCGAGGGTTTTCGCTGCTGCTGCTGCGACGACAGCTCGTCTGTCAGCGCATCTTGGATTTCGTTGCTTTTAGCGGCGGCGGCGGCGTCGGCCTCTAGCTGCAGCAGCTTCTTCTTCCTTGGTGTCTTTAACGACGCATCGTAGATGGGTGGCGGCCGTTTATCAGACCGGAATCGAGATGGGTGCGGGGAGAGCAGCGGGAGGCGGTTTGCAGGGAACGCAGACTGAGGGGTTGTAAGTGAGCGGATGAAGAGGCTCAGCGTCCTCCGTGTGCAGCAGTGCTGGCAATTCATGACTGTACTAGATACCGGGCAGTTTGGAAATGCCAACCGCATTTCGCTTTCTCTTGCTCATGCACCGCACGGACCCCCTTCGTGCTAGTTAGTTAGTTAGTGCCAGTCAAAATGTGTGGGAACGCCACTGCCGGTTTCCCCCCCCCCAATTCCTTATCACCCTAGCCACTAGCAACTGAGAAGTCGTGACATACATGACTTTTAGACCCAACGGCTCTGGCGGCCAGCGCCACCCCATCTGCAACGGCCAAACTCCGGAATCAACAGTCTTCCTCACTACGACAGAGATCAACAACTACACTTGCACTTGTGACCGCAGGGCGAATGGCGGCAACATGGATGCGAAGCTCCCCCCCCCTCCCCCACTCCCCACCCTCGCACTCACGCGCGCTAGGGCCTCGGTATCATATGACGGGGCGAGTCTCTGCATTCGTCCGTTATGCTTCCAGATGTGTTGCTTTTTTTCTTAATCGTTTGCTTAGGTGCTTGACGTGAACTCTCGCCTTGCATTTAGTCTTGTCAACAGCACTTTTTTTTCCCCCAGCATTCCAACCATGGCTTTGCCCAGCTTTTTCCAGAGGCGCACGCCCAACACCAAAGAGTAAACAGTTTCGAAAGCGGAAGACTATAACGGACATGTTTGTTTTGGCTAACGCATGGTGAAAATAGGTGCTGGGGGTATAGGTTCGAATGGACGGCTGAACATCTTAGTCCCGAGCAGATGAAGCCTATGAAGTTCTCGTATGACGTGCTGGCGGAAGAGTGTCTCGAGCGTCTGAATACTATATCGCCACCGCACAAGGCGGCTTTGCCGAGAAACGATGCGAGTAGGACTGCTCTTGCGTCAGCACCGGGGACAGAAGAAGAGAAGAAAGAACCGCTGCCTGTGCCCCAGCGGGATCTCTATGCTCTGCTGGAAGAACATCATGAATCTGATCCGAAGCTCGCCGAGCTGTGGAAACAAGTCCACACTGTGCCCGAGTGGGTGGACTGGGAGCAGATAGAAAGAGGACAAGACGTCTTCTATCGATATGGAGGGCCTGCTCTGACTGGCCTCACATTTCAGTCGTTGCTAGGGGGTATGGGCGCTGCCCGAGTCGTCGAGACGCTCGCACGAACTGGAGGATTCAGCACAAAAGTCGCAAGAGGAAGACTGTTTGAGACGACACAACACATTCTCCAATGCACACGAACACTCAAAGGCCTGCAGCCCGGCGGTGAAGGCTTTGCCTCATCAATCCGCGTCCGCTTCCTACACGCCGCTGTCCGCCACCGTATCATGAAGCTCGCACAGCAACGCCCCAGCTACTTTAACGTCGACGAATGGGGCATTCCCATCAACGACCTCGATCAAATCGCCACCATCGGCACCTTCTCCTCGACGCTCATCTACCTCAGCTTCCCGCGCCAAGGCATTTTCCTCCGCGAGCACGAAATTCTCGACTACCTCGCTCTCTGGCGCTACATCGGCTACCTCATGGGCACCCCAGACGAGTACCTGTCGACGCCAGCCAAGGCAAAAGCCATCATGGAGTCTCTGCTATACCACGAAGTCTCGCCGTCCGAAATGTCAAAAACAATGGCCAACAACATCATCTATGCACTCAAGGAAGAGCCCCCTACCTTTGCCTCCGCAGACATGCTCACCGCAAGCGCCCGCTGGCTCAACGGAAACCAGCTTTGCGACCGCCTGGGCCTCAAGCGCGTCTCGCCATACTACTGGTCCCTCATGGCGGGCCAGTGCCTCTTCTTCATCTTCTACTGCTACACGTACCGCTTCTTCCCCGCTGCAGACCGCTTGCGCATCGACCGCGCAAAAGACATCTTCTGGGCCCTCATTGTCAAAGCGAAGTGGGGGCTCGCTGGAACGGAGACGGCGTTTGAATTTAAATACGTGCCGCAGTTTGATACGCTGACGCATCTGGGTGACCTTGGTGAGAGAAAGAAACAGCCGTATAGTATTGAGATGCGGAATCTCAAGGCGCTGGGGATTGGGATGGGCGTGGTGGCTGTTGGCACTATTGTCTCGGTGAAGTTGGCTTTACATCTTGTGGGGAGGCTGTGGTAGGAAGTAAGTAGGTGAGTAGGTGATATCACTTTGGTTGTGAGGTCTTGGATATGAGAGAGGTGAATTTTTTTGTATGAAGGGTCAAGCTTGTTGTTTAGTTTACTATTACTACCACCATTCATCCACTCAGTCAGTTCCTGCCCTGCTTCCTCACGTTTTTGCCGCAAGTTCGTACCTGCCGCCAGACTTCTCTCTCTTTCTCCTTCTAGCTTCGCTGTCCTACGCCAAACCACCTTCACCTCGAAATCAACCTTTGTCCAAACTCTCCCCGCTCCCCTCATCATCAACAACGACACAACAACCACCGAAAATCTCCCATCCCACCTCACCTTCAAGTCTCCCCAAACACACATTGCAGCAACAACAAGAAGACGAGAAAAAGACGCGACAGGCCCTTCCAAATGCGCAAACGCTCCCGCCGCACGTGTCCGCAAAACCCCGCGCAAGACGGCGTGTGTGGATGTCCTTTGTTCTGGAAACGCGGTAGACGTGCTTGTTCTTCTTCTGTCCACGCCGCTGCTGCTGCTACTGCCACGGGACTTGCACCGGATCACGGCTGCGACGTCGGCATTGCCAGTGTCAACGGCACGGGAGCGAGTGAGCACGACGAGGGAAGTAGCAGCAGGAGCAGCCGCAGCAAGAGACTCTGTGCATGGCCAGAGCACGCAGCGCTATCTGGGGCCCAGCAAGGCAGTGGGAATGCGGGACAGCATGTGCGTGTGCGTGGTAGTGAGATGGGTGGAAATGAGGAGTCAGAGCAAACGATTACGACAATGCGGTATGGCACTCAGGATGGCGACGACAACGACGACAACGAGGTAACCACCACCACCACCTCTTCCAAAACCAAAGCCAAGGCCCAGGCCCAGGCCAAGCGAGTACAATATTGGAAAAGAGAAAAGGAAAGGAGGAAAATTAGGAAGAAGAAGAGAAGAAGTAAACGCAGCACGGAAGCGGGAGTGGAAATGGAAACGGAAATGGAGACGGAAATGCAAGTGAAAGTGGGCATGGGGGCGATGCCAGTGCGGATTCTGGTTGATTACGAGTTACCGTGTGGCAGCGAGCGCTTGGACTGGGATACGGATCAGGTGCGGAGGATGGTGGGGGAGATTGCCTAGTATATATATACATACATGATATTCTGTGGCAGTCTTTGCAGGCAGAGGTTTTTTTTGGATACAGGATCAGATGTGTGTGTTTCAGGGCTGCTCAGATTCAAGAGCAATTGGAAAAGGAATTGGAACGAGTCTTTTTTTTTCTTCTTCTCTTTTGTGTGATATGGCAATCTAGTAATTGGGTATGAGGGGTGAGTGTTAACAAGAAAAATCAAAGCCTGGCGTATGATTGGGGCCCAAAAGGGCTTGACTACATGTGTATAACAAGAAATTCCAAAAAAAAAAGAATAGAGAGAGAAGACGTGTATCTTCAACTACCAGATATACGGCTAAGAGGGGGAAGAGCATCATGTTAGTGAAAACGGGCTAGTGGGACAGATATATGGCATGACGGAGTGACTAACCTTATCCTCATAAGTCCAGAATGTACCACTATGCTGTATACCTTTACTCTTGATAACCTCAATCATCCTGACGACGGATTCCTCGGGGGAAATGATGCCCTGGACTTCCCAGGGGAGCTGGATGTTGGCCATATCAGTAGCGACCTCGCCTGGGTGCATGCACAGGATAATAGTATCGTCGTCTTTTCGCTTGAGCTCGGCAGCCATGTGTCTGACCGCCATGTTGAGGGCCGACTTGGAGGCAGCGTATGCGGCGAAGCCATCTTCCATTTCGCGAAAGTTGCCGTGCGAGCCCGAGTCGCTGGACATGAAGACTATGGTGCCGATGGGGATGTTTGTTTGTAGCAGCTTCTGCGCCGTGATGATGGGGCCAATCGTGTTGGTGTGCAGGTGGAAGGCGAACTCGTCAAACGATCTATGGGGCCTGGTATCAGTATGTGTTGTCCATGAATCAATGGCACCTGTGTGTATGTATGTATGTATGTATGTATGCATTAGGGATTGCCGCAAATGCACGCTTTAGCCACAATCAGAAAAAGCCCAGCGGCCATGGGAGAAACATACAGCTCAGTGGCCCTCTGCATGGGTTAGTGCAGGCCCCAAATCCCCCTTTGCATATGTGGACAAAAGTGAGACTTACGTTGGGGTACCTTAGGACTCCTGCATTGATTACTACATAATCGATCTTGAGGTTTGGTATTCCGGCCAGTTGGGCGACAAATTTCTGGGCCCAGTCAGCACCCCGCTCCCGCGTCCTGGGGCTGAAGCAGCAAAAGGGCGTGGCCGTACTTGGATGCTCTGCTCGGATAAGATGTCGCACGTGTACATTTGGCAGCGGCCATGGTCACTGCCAGCTTGGCCCCAGAGCGCACTGGCATGGGCAGCCCAGGGCTCGCGCACCGTGGCTATGATGCGCTCGTTCCTGGCGAGCAGCTGCTTGACAAACTCCAAGCCAATGCCTCTGCTGGCACCGAGGATCAGCCATGTGGTGAAGTCCTCATCGGCGTATAGTACACCCGGGATCTGGTCCATCGGGTCGGTTCAGGGAATGGCGGGGCAAAACTATGATGTCAAGCAGCGTGCGAGGGCCTGTATGTATGCAATGCACTGACGCAACAGTGAGTGGACGGTTTGCTATGTTGGCATTAGTAGGAGGACAAGATGGCTGGGGGCCTGGCTGTCGCTTGAAATAGCAACGTGCCAATGTTCCGATCACGAGAGCCCGTCTTGCGTCTTCACAATCCTGCGAGGCCTGGGCGCGCCGACATGGCGGATTAGTCGACATGTCACGTCCAGCAGCGGACCCTTGCACGGCCAGCTTACTTGGGTTGGAAGCATGCGTGCTGCAGGGCAACCGAATAAGCCTGACTCTGGGAGCAGCCGGAGACTAGAGCACGGCACGATGGCTTTCTTTTTGGATCCGATGCTGCTGATATGTTGACTTGACGTGTGCTTGTGTTGGCCTGTGTCGACGCCGACATGGCACCGCGGCAAAGTTGTTCCCAGTCGCAGCGGCAGAGATGGTGACGGCATGGATTTGGGCAGTTGACGCACGATAGCCGAGTGGCAGGGCAATTGGGGGTCAACAAAGACGGACCACAAGACGGAGGTTCGTGTTTGCCATGCTCACACTCAGCTGGCCTCGGACCGGTTCCACCCGACCGCCTTTGCTCCTGACTTTTGCCGCGGCGCTGATTGGCCGCACGCGCGGCGCTAGCCGCCATGGAATGACCAGCCCTGACGCGAGCACCGTCACGTGTTCCATTTTTTCCATCGCCTCTGCCAGCTTTTTTGTCGCCCGATCCAGTTTCCGTTGCTTCCCTTAATCACTCACTCACTCTCTCCCAATCTTCCGCCTCTCTCCCGATCCAACACTACGCCTCTACTCCCCAACCAGCCTCTACACTTCTCATCTTATCACAATGGGCTTCGACCACGGTATGTTGTCACGATGCCTGTCAGACGTCATCGCTCGTCTTCCACTTGGCGCCCCAACTTTGGCCCCCCATTGAGCCTGCGCGCACGCCCAAGGCTGGCCCTGTCGAGGAGCAGTCTCTGGGTAGGCTGCGCGACAGCCAGTGTTTGGCAGCGCAGGTGGCAGTGTGCAGAGTTGCGACAATGGGAGAGCGAGCAGTGGCTTGCTTGGCGGACAATAAATTTTACCATGCACGAGGCTAACATGTCGGCACAGGTGACGCTAAGAAGGGGGCCAACCTCTTCAAGACCCGCTGCGCTCAGTGCCACACGCTGAAGGAGGGCGAGGGCAACAAGATCGGCCCCAACCTACACGGCCTCTTTGGCCGCAAGACTGGCCAGGTCGAGGGCTACTCATACACCGACGCCAACAAGCAGAAGGGCATCGAGTGGAACAACGACACTCTGGTACGCTACAAGCCCTGAAAGAAAGAAAAAAAACCGTGCAGGCCCGACGCTAACGCCACGCAGTTCGAGTACCTCGAGAACCCCAAGAAGTACATTCCCGGCACCAAGATGGCGTTTGGCGGTCTCAAGAAGCCCAAGGACCGCAACGACCTGATCACGTTCCTTGCCGAGGAGACCAAATAAGCGTGGCAACAGCACGTTGACGTTTACCATCTCTCCGACACGCCACGACCCTTCTCTAATACCTCTTCGACCGAAAATCTCCTTGGATTGTACCAACAGCGATGATAGACGAACGACGGAGGCGGTGAGCGCAGTCAGAGCGCGGCACTGTTTCATGTAGATTATGTTTTGTGTATCATTTCAGGGCGTTTTTCGATGTGGTGCAGCATAGACCTGGTTTGGAACTTGGCGGCACGTTCGAAATAACAATTATCCTCTACCGATGCTGCTGTGTGCCTGTTGCTCGTGCCGTGGCCCGTGAGTGATGACCTGGCCCCTGCGGAAGAGGCTCGCAGCTTGGTGCCGTGCATGGTAATGCGTTAGCGAGAACAGGCTGAAGAAGGTTCACCGCAACCAAGCATGGCGAAACGCGGGAGCGCTCACTCATGGCCGCGGCTTCTCCGAGGCCCAATGACGGGGTTGGCAAATTTTCGGACACGTTGCGGCAATTTGCACCGAGCCAGGCCTACTGCGCCTATTAGGAGCGGCTTGCATCATGCTTAGCCTCGACGACGCGGCTCACGCGAGCACGACCACCCCCTCACCAGAAACAGTGAACAGCCTGCTAGGCACGCTATGGCAAATTCCCTAATGAAATCACTGCACAATATAAGCTATGAACCGCTTTTCCTAGTACATACAACCATAGGTACTAGAATTCTGTGTCTCTCGTTCGCTCGGCAAAACATAAGCTAGTAACCGGCAGATTAGTAGTCAGGTGGGTGACCACTGGCGAATCCCTGCTGTTGTATGTTTTTTCCTTTTTTTTTTGCTCCTTGGGTCTCATTTTTTTTTGTGGTGGTGGTGGTACGACAGCGACGGCGGCGTCGTCGGACCTGAGGAACATGCAGCAGGGAACACGCGCTCCCACGCCTAACCGAGGATCATGTGGCTGGAGCCCGCCGGCGAGACACTACTGTGACGCAGCCGCTCCGGGGCAAGACGACGAGGAACAGAAATAAAAGAAAGAGAAAAGAAAAGAAACGAAGCGCACATGGCTGACCCATTCCGTCGTGTCAAGAGTGCCATCCACGGCTCGCAGGCGGGCAGATGGAAAATGCCACTGGTGCTTTTCCGCCTACTTCTCCACGTCCCAGGGCGACAAGTGTGGGGGAAGGCGCAGGCGCAGGTGCGCCAATGGTGGTGTCATTGCCGGCGCCCCCCGTCCATGTACATCGACGCCATTCATACATGGCATCCAACGCCCTCGTGTGCCACCTCTTTGCTCGCTCGTCCAAGACAACCCGTCCCCAGGCTCGTTTCACGCGTCGTTACCTCGGCCGCTGCATCGCCATCCATTAGCGTCATAGTGGGGGCCTCGAGTAGCTCGACGGGGAACACCACGACCGACCACCGCACTTTGGCGAACACACAGCACCAGAGGCCGTTCCGGCCTTGACCAACCCTCATCATGTCGTGGAAGCGGAGCGAGCGGCTGATGGAAACCATCAAGGTATGTCCACCACGCCCCGGCGCATTCATGACTAATCCGCCTGCAGCACTACAGCAAGTTTCCAGCGACCGGTGCGTCTACCTGAGCCCTCGTGCCACACTGCCCGTCTAATCTCTGTCTAGGTGTGTCGCTGCGCCAGATGGTGCAATTCGGAGAGAAGCCATCGACAGGAACCCTCTTTCGCGCGTCACAGTTCCTTTCCGAAGAACTTCCCATACGGCTAGCACACCGCGTGCAGGAGCTCACTGAACTGCCCGATGGCCTCAGTGAGATGCCCTCCATCTCCAGAGTGCGCGACTGGTACGCGCAGTCGTTCGAGGTACGTGTGGCGACGATTCGAATGCGGGCCTTGACTCACACAGCACCAGGAACTCGTCGAATTGCCACGGCCGACCCTCTCCAGCGAGGTCAAGGAGCGGCTGCTCAAGCCTGCAAAGAGCAGCGGCGATAAGAGCCTGATGAGCAAAGCGACGCAGAATCCGAGCATCAGGACTGGCCAGTACCGATCTGCACCAGCGACAAACGGCAACGGCAACGGTAATGGACATGGAATCACACGAGAAGTCAAGGGTGCCAGTCGGAGGTACTATGCTGCTGCAGACGACGGTTTAGACTGGCCCCCGGAGCTTGGCGCATACAACAGGAAATTCGCAGACACGCTGGAGAAGATCAAGCGGCGGCACGACAGCGTCGTCACAACGGTCGCGCAGGGCATCCTGGAATGGAAGCGCAAGAGGCAACGCATGCAGATTGACCACAACATACAGGCCTTCCTCGACCGTTTCTACATGTCACGCATCGGAATCCGTATGCTCATTGGCCAGCACATTGCCCTTACCGACCAACGCGCGCGGACTGATCCAAACTATGTGGGCATTATTTGCACAAAAACAAACGTAAAAGAGCTGGCACAGGAGGCGATTGAAAACGCGCGGTTCGTGTGCGAGGACCATTACGGACTTTTTGACGCCCCCAAGGTGCAGCTGGTGTGCAACCCGGATATCAGCTTCATGTATGTGCCTGGGCACCTCTCACACATGCTCTTTGAGACTCTGAAGAACTCGTTGCGTGCGGTCGTGGAAAGACACGGACAGGAAAAGGAGGATTTTCCCGTAACAAAGGTCATAGTCGCAGAGGGCAAGGAGGATATTACTATCAAGATTTCTGATGAAGGTGGCGGTATTCCTAGATCCGCCATTCCGCTCGTCTGGACGTACATGTACACGACTGTCGACCAAACACCCAGCCTGGACCCGGATTTCAACAAGAGCGATTTCAAAGCACCAATGGCTGGCTTTGGCTACGGCCTGCCCATATCCAGGCTGTATGCGCGGTACTTTGGAGGAGATTTGAAGTTGATCTCCATGGAGGGGTACGTATAAGATCTTGTTCTGTAAACATCTGCGAAACTGACTCTTCCTGCAGCTACGGAACCGACGTCTACCTCCACCTCAACCGCCTCTCTTCTTCCTCGGAACCTCTACAATAGCAATTACCCGTCATGAGGGGCGGATGGACATCAAGCGAACTCATCCGATCTTCCCGAGGAATGGCGCAGGGTAATGGTTCGCGGCAATACAACCCTTTTCTGGCCAGCAAGGCCATGAAGTTGAAGCTGAGTGGCCAGGTTAGCAGGGAGATTAGCGAGAGGCGGCAAGTGGGCGATGCAGAGGACATGTTTGCAGACAAGGGCCCAAGTGATGGCGACAAGCCATGGTGGCGCAATGTCGGTATGGAAGAGGGAATGTAAAGCCCATAGAGCTGTGTGTGTGTGTGTGTGTGTTTAATGGGCTCTTTCAAAAAAAAACCCCCTCCCTTGGACAAAAAAATCGCCATGTTCAAAGACGTAGGAAAATCTAGTCCCATTCTTGATTTTTCCTTTCTCTCTCTCTCTCTCTCTCTTCCTTTTTCTTCTTCTTCTTCTTCTTCTTGCTAGATGGGATGGAAGATACAAAAAAAAACGCCTTTCTTTTATGCTTGGGGAGGGGGGGAAACAACGGCATGGTGAGTGCCCTATTTTTTTTATGAGCACACAGACACACAGACATATACACACGAGTCCATGTTGTTGTTGTTGTTGTTGTTGTTATCTTTTTTTTGGAAAAAGACCGAGAAGGCGAAAAAATATGAAAAGATGAAAAAAGAAAAAAAAGGGATTGTTTGGGCTACGATTCACTCCGATGACGATGTTTTTTGGTTCGTTGGGAGGAGGAGAAGAAGAAGACCCCGCTTCATGCCTAGGCGTAGGGAAAGAAGAAGGAGGCGTAGCGGTTAGGGATTGGGGTAGGATGTGTGTACGTGTGTGTGTGTGTGTGTGTGTGTGTGTGTGCGTGTGTGTGTGTATGTGTGTGTGTATGTAGCAAACATATATAAATCCGGCGTAAATGGGGGGAGGCTTATAATGAATATGAATATGAAAAATGGATACAGTAAACATGCAGAGATATATGTAGATGTCATGCAGAGTCAGTGTGCATGCAAATGTGCAGAAAGTTGAGAGTCGGTGGCAGTCAAGGGGCGGGGGAATGGAGAGAAGGGTATGTAACATTGCTATCAAACTTAAGAGAAGAAGAAAAAACAGGGGGGTATATGAATATGATGAGTTCGCGTTCCAATCTTCATCTTTGTCCATGGATCCATGGGAATCCCAAGAAGAAGAAGGAGAAAAGAAAAGAATAAACTCACCACTAAATGAACGCCTCCTAGATAACAGCACAACCCAGTAGTACTCCAACTCCTGTAAACCAGGCTATTAAAAAAAAGGATATGCCTGAATCATCAAAAAACGTGTGAACTACTTACTAACTGCACCTACTACACCCCCAAACTAACCCTCTTCCTCGCTCTTTCGCGCTCCTTCTCACGCTCTTTGCCTTTACCCACCGCCGCCGCCGTTGAGGACTTACCAGGACTCGCTATGCCATTGCCGCCATCCGCCGCCGATTCCCACTCATCGAGCCACGCCATCTTGGACGCAGCGCAGTGCGCGAGGCCGAGGACAACGTTGCGGTAGTGCGCGCGTGTTTGCGGTATACTCTAATGGAAGCCGTATGTGAGATTGTGGGTAAAACGAGAGAAGGGGGAGTAATAGAATGAAAAAAACAAACCTCATTCCTAGCAGCTGCAAACCACATTACCATCTCCTCGCTCTCGAGTATACTCGCTGCCTCATCGCGTCGTTGCCGCTCTTCATATTCCAGCGCTTGGATACTTCCCCCTCCTATTCCTACTCCACCACCACCACCACCAGTTGCTACATTATAATTCTTGCCTCTAGCTTGCAAACTGCGTCTAGCTTCCTCATCGCGCTTGTGGCGTTCTGGTCCGCCGTACGCGGTGGCTAGAGCTGCGCGGTGGCTGGAGCTGTAGCTGTAGTTGTGGTTGTAGTTGTGGTGGTAGTGGCGTGGGTGGGAAGGCGATGAAACTGTGGTGGGTTGTGCGGGAGGATGAGTGGTGGATGAAGCGCTGTTTTCAGAGGGGCTGGGAGGACTGCTTAGGGCTGTGGTGGGGGTGGGTGGAGGCGGCATTGTTGCATTGTCGTGTTGCTGGTTGTGCTTGGTGGTTGGTGTGGGGGAGGTGCTGAGGTCAAGCTGGTGGTGGGGGCGCCATGCTAAAATGTCCGCGGGAGAGGCTTAGATGGGAAGGTGCATGCATGCATGTATGCACATGAAAAAAAAAACGTCAAGCATATATCCCGACAATCCATAACCACATGTCTCGTTGCAATACTCCTTTCTATAACAACACATTGTATTCAACACCGTTTATATATCGGTTTTGAGGATATTCTGTTTCTGTTTCTGCTCATGTAACGCATCATCCTTTTCCACGACTATTAACCTTGGGCTTTGTTGTCTAATAATGTCTTGACCGAAACGCTGAAATGCCAATCTATGCCAGATACCTTTTCTCACTCACACACACACACACGCCGAAACCCCAACCTGCATTGGATTGAAACATCCTTTGTCCGTCTATAACACACCCAACAGCACCCGCTGGCTAGTTTGTTACAATCCCTTCAACACCCGCTCCCAGGGGACGCGATCCACAGACTTCCCCCGGGGCTAGAGGAAATTAAGCTATGCGCTGCCGTTCGCCTGCTGATGCTCAGCCTTGGTGCCCTTACCTCTCCACGTGCTGACGGCGGGTATGTCGGCCTTTAGTCGTTCTTCCTGTGTCGAGTAGGCCTTTGGCGTCAATTTTATCAACGTGTGTAGCGGCACCTCCATCCAAGGACTCTGTTCCTGCGGCACATTCATAAAGTATGCGTAGATACACCGCAGAATGGCCTGATGTGTAACAATCAAAATGTTCTCGCTGCGCTCCAGCTCCATGATGATGGGCTCGAGTCGAATGACCACGTCGCGATATGACTCTCCACCAAGATAGCGGTAGTTGTACTTGTCCTCGTCACGCTGCTTAAAGTCCTCGGGGTACTTTTCTTCAATCTGAGCGTATGTGAGTCCGTCGCAGACGCCAGAGTCGAGCTCGTCAAGCGCCTTCCATTCCAACTTTTCAAAAGGCAGGAATCGTGCTGTCTGGATTGTGCGCTTCAGAGTCGATGTCCACACGGTGAGTTTGCGATTATCGCCGACCGATTTTGCGACGAGGCCTGGAAGTGCATGCGCGTAAGCATCTCCACGTGCCGAGAGATTAGCATCTCCTCCAATTTGTCCGGTGAGATTGTACTGCGATTCGCCGTGCTATCATAATTAGCCCTGACCACGATGTTTCAACAAGCTACTTACTCGTGATAACCAAATCGATCGTGGCTTGATGTGAAGGTTCATCAAGTAGTAGACCACTCGACTCTGAAGGTAGTCCTGGATCTGGTTGATAATGACTTGCTTGCCAACATTGATAAGTTTTACATAGGTAAGATCGCGTTCATCCTCGTCTATCGTCTGGTACACCTTTTCGTAGTTTCGAATGCGGTTGCGGAAGTCGGCTGCAGCGACTTCGGGATCCTGGCCAACGTAGTCGGGAGACGTCGTCTTTACTTCCAATATGTTGCTCATGATGAGCTCCTCGTCGTCGCACTTGGACTCGACAAACAGCGTTTCAATGTTGTCTGCAGCGCATCGTTCCTGTATCCATCTTCGCCGGCTCTTTGTCGAGTTTGTGGCGTCCAAGATCGCAACCAAGCCCCTGCCCTCGGAAAACCACTTGCACATGTCATTGACGGCGGCTTCGGCGGCCGCCTTGCGAAGGCGCTCTCCTTCAGGGTTCGACGTGTCGAAAAACTCGGCCGAGGGGTTTGGGGTCGCTGTCCGACGGTACTGTCCAACATTGAACGTCTTGGACTTGATGGATAGCCAATGCAGGTAGCGGACAACTGCAGAGCACTCGGTCAGCGGCGGTGCGGGCGGGCAAGCGTGCGTGCCAGTGCGGCGGCATACCTTTCTGTGCAATCAAGCTCTTGCCACGGGCGGGCAAGCCGACCATGACGACGCATATTCGAGTGTCTTCGGCCTGTACACCGGCACCGTTAGTCTTTCTGCTTGGCTTCACGAATTCGCCAGCAGGCAGAGCGCGCATGTTTGGCGCATAGGAGCCATTCGTGTCCGTCATGGTGCGCGGCGAGTCCAGCTCCCTAAGAATACAGCGACAACAAGACGGGCGGGCGGCCCAGGCGGTGGTAGCAGGGCTGGAGAAAAGTAATATGTCGGAATCTAGCCGAAGGTATTCCGAAGGCGCAGCGAAAGAATGCGGCTTTTAATCAAAAGGCGCCGCTACGACGGGTGCTAGGCGGTCAAGGGAAAGGCTTCAGTGCGGCAAGGCCTCGAGCGGTCGGCTGGGCTGAAGCAATGGCGGTAAGAGGGTGCGTGGGATGTAGTGTTGCAGAATCGTGAGCTCGGTCTTGGTCCGGCAAGTCAGGAAGCGAGAAGGGGATGGGTTGACGATTGACGATTGACGACAATTCCCCGCATTCGGTACCGTGTCCTTCTTTTCACCAGCAGGCGTTCGGATTGCGGCTCCAGGCTAGCGGGCGCAGTGGAGCAGACACAGCAGCAGGTTCTCATTCGATGGGCACAATGCTGCCCGCAGTCGAGCGCGTGTCCACCCGAACCGACGGCCGTCTCGCGCTCACGACAGTGCAGCCATCCGCCGCCGTGCCTCGCCATCAGCCTGCTCGAGACTGCTGCCGCAGTGCTGTGGGCATGCATGTCTCGCTGGTCGTGTGCCATGATGCCATAGCCCCCCCTCCTGCGCCATGACGACAATGGGCTCCAGTTGTAGCAGGGCCAGGGGCGTCGAGAATCATGCCTTAAGCCGCCGAATTCCGGACGTCGCAGAGACGGTGAAATTTCTTAACAGTGCGAGGTCGTCGTGCATGGGGCCAAACCACCATTCCCATTTGCGTGCAGCCGCCAATGCGTCCACGAGACGAGATGTTTGCTTACCGTCGAGATGGAATAGGTCCTCGTGTGACCCATTGTGGCTTCCAAGGCGCCTTTCTCGCCCGTGTCGATGGCGTGGCGCAGGCGGCGGGATCGTTTTGGCGGGGCAGTCTTGGACGGGGCCAGAGTGTCGTCGTATCGTGCACCCAGTGGGTAAGTGCTCGCTCGGGGGGGGGGGGGGGGGGGGGGG